CCCTAAGACGGTGGAGAGAGTAGCAGATAGCCCACTGTGTGGCTTTGCGCTGAAACAAAAACAGTTAATCATTTAATTTATCATAACAATGTATTATTCACTTCTACTATCATATTATTCATCATTTCCAAAAAAATGATATTTTAATCAACGAGTTTCTTTAGTTCTGAAAAGAAAGAGGATCCATCTATTCAAAAACAACATTGAATAGTCAATTTATGCGTAAGTTACTTTTAATAGCTTCGCACATTTCAACAGATTATTTAAATATGCATATCTTGTATAAAGCGTACATAGTTAAGATTTACTTTACTTTACAGTACGAAACTTCCAACAAAAGGTCCATACTGTTTTGTATAATGTTTTGGACTGAGCGTGGCCTTGTGGTTGGCATGCTGGAGTGTCATTATAAGAGTTCATGGTTCGCATCCGATTGCTGCAAAAACGCATGCACTCTGTGTTTTGGGGCTGAGGGTGCACCATAAAAGTGACATTCAAATCACACATTTTAATCAGAGGAGCCCAAAAGTTGGCAGTGGGTGTTGTTGACTATTTGTACTTGCTTTAGTCAATCAGTTCAAAATTAAGGACATATAACACTTGCTTTACTTGAATTTCATTAAAATAAAATATTTAATTTATTTTTCATCTTTTCTAAACAATTATGCTAAAAGTGTTTTTACACATGTTTTACGATACTGCATTTTTTTCTTTCTTTCAGCATCTGTTAAATTGAAATTGAAAAGATTTATCAGACGTCTAGATAACTGGTCATAACATTGTTGCAATGACGATCAGCAGTAGAAAATTAAGAAAAGTTGCAAAGCTGGCTTTAAAAACGATCCCATGCTTCTTCGCTATCACCATCTTTTATCGGGTGGTAATAATTAACAGTGTCCCTTTGTTGATTCACAATCAGTACCTGGACTCCACGCAAGCTAACAGAAGTAGCACAGACTCTCCCATCATTAAAGCGAAAGAAAAGCGTGTGAATGCAAGTCCATTGGTAGCGATAAATGCGACGTACAACAAAACAAATTTATCAGTGCATCAAGTTTATTTTAGTAAAACTCCAGAACTGACAAGGACTATAATGAACGAAGTATCAAAGATAAATTACACTATAAGTGACAAGACTTTGAACAAAGTAGTCAACATAACCTGTTTTGGTAAAACTCACGACCTTTATTGCGTATTGGAAAACTCATACAAGGCTGAAAAAACAGCTGGTTTTAACAGCACTGTGACATTAACCACTCAGGCTACATCTGGGTTCGAGTATCACGTGGAACAACTTTGTCGTCGATGGCAAGGTCCGATATCAGTCGCGCTTTATGTTCCTGCAGATGATTTTCGACAATCCCGAGAAAACATTGAATATTTGCGAGATTGTGGTCATCGATGTGTAAGACATTGGGTGACGTGGCATTTGTTTTATGACCTGTTACACCCACCCACAACTACGTTGCTGGAATCAACCAGAATCTTAACAAACACGGCCTGGAAAACTAATGGTTCAAGAACTGGGAGAAGTAAATCTAAATGCAAGTCTAAACCATTATTTAATACTGAATCGTACGTACGACGCAAAGTCCTTCCTTATCCTATTAATGTAGCTCGAAACATTGCAAGGATGGCTGCCAAAACGCATTACGTCTTTGCATCAGATATCGAACTATATCCGAGTGAGAATATAATCCCTCGATTCATTCGCCTTATTGATGACTTGAAAAATAAAACGCCAAATTTCTCAACAAAGCGCCAAGTATTTGTTTTGCCTGTTTTTGAGGTACAACTTGGTACAGAACCACCAACGAAGAAACCAGATTTAAAACTACTTATGGAAAAAAAAGTTGCCATTCCTTTTCACTACTACTTTTGCAGGATGTGTCACATGATTCCTAAGCTATCCCAATGGTTAGAAATCCAAGGATCGCCAGTTAAACTAAATATTTTCCTTAGCACAAAACGAAGAAGAATCGGGAAATACTCTGGGTGGGAACCATTTTTCATTGGGACCAATAAGGATCCGCTTTTTGAAGAGAGGATGTCATGGAACGGAAAATATAATAAAATGCAAGTGGTAAGCAGACAGAAACATGTTTATTATATAGCTTATGGTAACAATTGTTATGTATTGACAAAAATTTTGCTTGTTCTTATATTTTGTAATGAAAGTTTTTTCTATAAATATTTTAATATCAACACCTCTTGTTTTTACGAAACGATTTTTTATTTTTGATAAAGACAAGTCTGTGCCAGTTAAATAAAGGCCGAAGAAGTATTAAAATGAAATAAAATGTTAAGTTTTTAAATTGCGAAATAGTAAAATTACTAATCATTTCAAATTTTGAATTTATTCTCACTTTTTATGTACATATTGGAACTACAGAAATAGACGTAACCAACAATTTGAATTACATTGACATAAAGTCTATTTATTTACTTATATTACTTAAAAGTTTAAAATTCCTAATTAAATTTATGTGATAATTTTTTGAAATTGTAGAAGAAACTAATTATTTTAGGTGACTGTTAGACTAGGAGAGTCAACAACAACATGTACGTCATTAAATGTTTACGAAACGTTCTATGATTTGAAAGTTCGTATTGTACACAAGAATTCAGTTCATAGATTTTATAATTTCTTGCAACCGATATTTTTACTTTTTTACATTTCAACAAGTGAAAAGGTAAAGGTTTCCTATCTATTTAATGCATTTGTAACTAATTATGCAGTTTTAATTAACAACATTTACCTGTAAACATGTTCCAACGTTTCTTTAATGTTTAAATTTTTCATTTGTATGAACGTAATTGTGATTGTGAAAGATTTATTTATGCGGTTTTAATTTTATCAATTAAAACGGCATAATTAGTTACAAATGCATTAAATAAATAAAAAACTTTTGTCTTTTTTTTTTTTGGAATGTATAAAAATTTACTTGAAATATCAATATTACAATATTTTAGTTCAAAACATAAGTAATTTTTGGAATTATATTTTAAAACTTAACTTTATCAACTGAGATTAAGGTTTAGTAGGCTCAGACTGAGGAGACTATTTATATTTTGAAACCCTAAGGTGGAACTATTTTTCGTTGTTCTACACTTAAAAACACAAGTTTCACAAAACACGTGCCCCGCAGTGGCACAGCGGTATGTCTGCGGACTTACAACGCTAAAAACCGGGTTTCGATATCCGTGGTGGGCAGAGCACAGATAGCCCATTGCGTAGCTTTGTGCTTAATTACAAACAAACTGTATCTGCGGTATCATCAGTTGGCAAGAAAACGTTGAAGATCTTTACTTCTCAACATACGGTTTTACTCTACATATGACATTATAATTAGGAAATAAATATTGCTTAGTTTTAGTTAAATTTAAAACATGTATAAATGTGTCTGAAAGATTATGGCGTAACTGGGTGTGTTTATTGGACTTGCCAGTTGTCGTTCTGCATGCGCATCTTGTTATTTCAAATCCCAGGAAGTACAGTATATGTAAAAGTATTAGTCACAAAATGTTTTTCTTTACCTGATTACAATATTCAGTCAACCTCGAATGGTTAGAAAAACTTCTCTTGTTTAATATAGTGACATCGTGTAGGGGCAAGAATATCTGGAGTAAATAGAAACAAGCTGAAGAGTTTGTTTTTTTCTCAGTTATCTTTGCAAATCGTGGATTGGAAGCTAGTGTAAATTTAATTATGTATGCGGATTATGGGCTGGGAGTTAGTGTAAAGTTAATTACCTACGAAGTCATGGGTTGGTGTAAAGTTAGGGTTAGTACTGAGAAAATTTTGGAATTTTACTCAAATTATTCCCATCCTATTCCTCAGTTGTTTAGCGGTGAACTTGAGGGCTTATGAGGGTTCTATCACTGTGGTGTGCATAGCGCAGATAATCCATTATGTAGCGTTCCGGTTAACAACAAAACAAATAAAAAATATTAATCCAAGAGAAAAATCATGTATTTTATGTAACCAGTAGTGTTGGAGATAATAGCACTATGTGTTCGTTCTTAAACTCTGAACTATTAGACTGGATAGTCTTTGTAATATGGTGACAAACTATTACAAGAATGGATAACAAAGGGATATTTAATAGTAAAGCGGATATGGTTTATGTTTTCACTGGCTAATATTGGATATAAATTGGTATCAGAGGATTAGTTTGTTTTGAATTTCGCGCAAAGCTACACGAGGGCTATCTGCGCTAGACGTCCCTAATTTAGCAGTGTAAGACTAGAGGGAAGGCAGCTAGTCATCACCACCCACCGCCAACTCTTGGGCTACTCTTTTACCAACGAATAGTGGGATTGACCGTCACGTTATAACGCCCCACGGCTGAAAGGGCGAGCATGTTTGGTGTGACGGGGATTCGAACCCGCGACCCTCAGATTGCGCCCTAACCACCTGGCCATGCCGGGCCCATCAGAGAATTAACCTGGCAATAAAAGCCTCTGACTTTTCGTAAGAAAGAAAGCAGTAATTCATTGCACGTTGAAACATGTAAAACATAGTTACTCTGAATAACAACTTTACATGATCTATATTGACATCGAGCCTATTTTCATTGTGTTATACATCAATAGTATAGTGAGAAATCGGAGATCACTGAGTAAGTGTAAGTTTAAAGAATTAACCGGAATTATATTGTACAGCAGTTAACACGTTTATTACTAAGGCTAGCATATAAACTTTCTTCTTTTTTTAAACGTTGAACGCTTGGCTGAGGAAAATAATCTTAGGAATTGTGGGAAATATCTTAAGATCCTTTTCAAGTAACTAGCCATTCAATAAGTCAACGGCAGGCGCTGGGATCGGGGATATTGAAGATGTTGTTAAATTGTTCAGCCCTTTATGAAACAGAATTGACGTGATATCTCAGTTAATAAATACCATTTATATGAATAACTTTTCTAACCCATTTAATATAATTTCAGTCTTTATTTTTTAATCATCTTAATTTTTCGTTTTTGGCATTTGGTTGATTGTCGAACTATAATTTGGATTCTTTAATTTTAGACTCTGTAAAAACAAAAAAAAATAAGTGTTAACTTTTTGTATAAACAGTTTTTTCCTGATGATACATTGTTATCATTATGCACTTTAGGCTTTAGAGCTGTGTTTCCAAAACTACGACCTCCATGTTCTCGACGACGCTTTCCTAGTCCATGCACCCGGAATCAAGAGGATCGATGTTGACCGGAAGAAGTTAAGATTGCCTTTTGTTGGCAAGAATTTCAATATCTTTAAACAAATCATGGGTGAGTTACAACAAAAATATCCGGATAGAATAAACTGCTGAAGAAAAAACATTATTATCTAAACCCCCCCCCCCCCGAAACAAATATAAATCACATTAGTAATCTGAAGTTTCGTAGTAGAAGTTTAATTTTTGAAAATGAAAGAAAGCAATATATACAATTTTTCTGTCATACAACTGCCACAACATTATTAGTTTAACAAATAGTCGTCTTGGTCTTCTGATACAGTTTTTAATTTGATTGTTAAAACTTCATTCAAAAGCCATTTTACTGTCTTTATTAGAAATTTTTTGGAATAATTAATTGTGAGTTACTGCATACGTGTAATAAAACTTTTGGTGTTGTAATTTTGTATTTATATTTAGATATTTATTTATTGCTAAAATATTTAATAGCACATTTGACGGCCAAAGAAATACTTGTCCATCTACGCAAAAAGTTGTTTACTTTAATTATTTTTCCAAATTCTTCAGAATAATGAATATTTGTACTGTTTTCTTTCTTTTTTTTTAATAAACTATCATTTACTTGATTCTTCATTTCTTTTACAGTACACTAAAGCACTGTTTGCTTTGCACAACGGTAACATTCACGTTATGTGTTTCTCATTTGGCTTGTTTGTTTGTTTTAAGTTAAGCACAAAGCTACACAAAGGCTATCTGGGCTCTGCCCACCACGGGTATCGAAACCCGGTTTCTAGCGTTGTAAGTCCGCAGACATGCCGCTGTGCCACTGAGGGGCCTCATTTGGCTGCTGTGTTTCAAGTGTAGCGAGGCTAATAGTTTGTCCATTTAACACGCACTTTCTGCCAATTATCGCTATATTTTTATGATACAAAATACTGAAGTAATGCTTACTACACTCACACATCAGTTACGATTTCAAGCAGATATGCAAAAAAAACATATTCTTTTTAATACAGAAAAAAAATTTCATATGCAGAAGCTGTTATAACTAGACAGTTCTACACATTGTCTAGATTGATACAATTGTGATTCACGTACATTAAATTAGACAAAGCAAAGTAAGAATTAATAGCAGATAATATACTAAATGAAACGATACTTTATTTACTTACAATTTCTGAATTTCTTTACTCCACTGTTGACGAGTGAGTTATGAAGAAATTTATCTGTTAATTTGTGGTGAACTTTAATTGAAGCGAAAACACTAGTTATATCATTGTTTATTTCTAATATAGAAATAACAAGATTAAAAACAAAACTTTTTTCCAGACTAATAATTCGTTAAATTTACTAAACAGTACCTCAAATGTTTTATAATTTTATCACATTTCGATTTTATAAAAACATATTAAAGATCGCTTACTCGGGGTTAAAAAGTTATAGCTTTATTAAAGTAGTTTTTGAAAAGCATGATATTTACTAGCATTTATGTACTGCTTCAAAACATTCAAGTTGATTGGTAGTAGAAAAATCTCACCTGTCTTCTTCAGTCTTTAATTCAATCCCCCCCATTGGCACAGCGGTATGTCTGTGGACTTACAATAGTCCATTGTGTAGTTATGTACATAACTTCAAACAAACAAACAATGCCCGCCATGGCCAGGTGGTTAGGGTGCTCGACTCGCAATCTGCGGGTCGCGGGTTCGAATCTTTGGTATTCTCTTTCTTTCAGTCGTAGGGGCGTTATAGTTTGACGGTCAATCCCACTATTCGTTGGTAAATGAGTAGCCCAAGAGTTGGCGGTGGGTGGTGGTGACTAGCTGCCTTCCCTCTAGTCTTACACTGCTAAATTAGGGACAGCTAGCGCAGATAGCTTCAAGTTGAGCTTTTAAATAGAGTCAAAACATGTCATTTCGAGTAATTATATATATATATAAATATTTAAGAAGAGATAAAATAGTTAGATACCAAAGATTCAGTGTAACATGACAAAAAGTAAGTCAATGGTAAAAGCTTGTTTAAATACTTGCAGAAATAAACACTTCATATTGTGTAGGTTTTTAGAAAGGTGAAAAAAGAAACAGTCTGTATTCTATTACTTTCATTTCTTAGAATATATAACATTTGTATTATGTGGCTTTTATTTGGAAAATAAAAAATAAGTTTTTACCAAAACGTTTCACGTTCTTGTTTTAAACATTATGTATGTAGAAGTGACTTCTTTCGTAAAAATATATGTACCAGAACACACTAGACTTATTCGGTATAATGCTCAAATTCGAGATTCTATCTCAGTGTTGGGCATAGTGCACATAGTACAATGTGCAGTTACACACTAAGATTGGAACTGATAGAAAATTACGAACTAGTATTATGAGTTAGCAATGTATCGAATTACACATTTGAAACAGTTACTCGTATACATTAAAAGAAAAATGTACAATATGTGTGAGCCACTTGGAAATGTTGGCTACTATACATAGTAAATAATCTAAATCTGTTTGTTTTAAAGCTGAGCCATATTGGGCTGTTTCCTGTGTCCACCATGGAGAATCGAACCCCGAATTTTAGCGTTGTAAGTCATTAAATTTACCACAGTCCTACCAGGGGACATAATCTAAAATAGACATATTTATACAAAAAGTAAATATATTAATACTATATTTTTACACTTGAAAAATATTCCTAAAAATAAAACTGCCCAGCAAAAGTTATAGCATTTAGCAATATGGCATATCATATCAGAGCAAAAGTATATTTCTATGTTTGACTTTGTGTAATAAAATTCCTTCGATATAGCTGTTCAAACTTTTAGTATTTCACGAAAGTATATCTCTCTTTCCCTGGTAAACAGCATCATGTGGCGATATTAGCCTTACAGTATAGCTTTCATATTAAGTTAACATCTGATAAAAGTATGTTTCTATGTAGCAAACAGCATGAAGTGTTTGGCTAAATTAGCAACGCCGTAGAATTATTGAATCAAACTAACATCTCAGAAAAGTATATTTCTTGGTTGCTAATAACATCATTTGGCAGTATTAATTCTATAGAATAACTATTCAGTCCAATTAGCATCTCACAAAAGTATATTTCTTGGCTGCTAATAACATCGTTTGACAGTATTAATTATGTAGTATAACTATTCAGTCCAATTAGTATCTCACAAAAGTATATTTCTTGGTTGCTAATAACATCATTTGGCAGTATTAATTCTATAGAATAACTATTCAGTCCAATTAGCATCTCATAAAAGTATATTTCTTGGTTGCTAATAACATCGTTTGGCAGTATTAATTCTGTAGTATAACTATTCAGTCCAATTAGCATCTCACAAAAGTACATTTCTCTGTAACAAACAGCTTCAAACGGTTGGGTATATTAGTAATGTCATAGAAAAATCAATCATATTAACATCTCAAAAAAGTAGATTTTTCTCTAACAAACAGCATTATTTGGTACTGCAATAGAACTAAGCAGTTATATCTGAAGCACAGAAAAACACAACATAGGATAAACTTGCAAAAAATCACCTTTGCAACAGGTGGCTTCGCCAGATTTCACCTGCTTAATATAACTTTTTATAGCGATGTTAGTGTGCCGGGCTACGTGGTGTTCCAGAAAAAAACTCCGAACTTTCAGCTGTGGTCACGTTATAAAAGTAACAGTAGATATTGCTGACTGGCTGCATTCTATTTGGTCAGTCGTTCAAAATTAGGGACGGCTATATCTGAACCTTCGTGGTATCTTATATGGCCTTTATCCTATGTGCATATAAAGTACCATTAAGAATAAAAATACCAATACGTCATCGCGAATTTCTATATAGTAATATTTCTGTTATTTCTTCAATAATGTTGGTTAACAGATAGCTTTGTTCTAGAGTTTGGACTTTCAGATATCTTTCTCCTGATCACGGTCACGGAGTTCATCCTCTTCTGTCAAAGATAATGTAAAAAGAAAAGTTGTTATTTTAGCGCAAACTACACAATGGGCTATCTGCTGTCGGTCCACAGCGTGAATGGAACCCCATCTTTTAGCGTTGTAAGTCCATAAGCTTACTGCTAACCCACCAGGTGAGAAAACAAAAGGAGGAGTAAATAACACTTTAGAGAGCAAATATTGAAAAATCACCGAGTTATTTTTTTTCCTTTTACAGATATATTCATTATTCTTGGCGAAAGTTACACTTAAAAGTGCTCCCCAGTGGCACAGCGGTATGTCTGCGGACTTACAACGCTAGAATCCGGGTTTCGATACCTGTGGTGGGCAGAGCACAGATAGACCATTGTGTAGCTTTGTGCTTAATTACAAACAAACAAACAATTAAAAGTAAAAATATTATCGTAATAAAAAATTCAGAAGACATGAAAGATAGCTTAAATACATTAAATAAAATCACCATCTGTAACACTTCGAAAATTACTTGACGTACTCTAAATCTTTTGACGCACTTCAACGGAAAAGAATTGCTATTAACAAAGAAAATATTCAAGAGGAAACTAAGAACCTGATCCCTGCGATACTTCATTTCAAAAGCAGAAAGATTTATTAAATATTATATCTTCCAAAGTTGTATTGCAGTTACCAAAATATGTATAAAATAAAAGTCCAATGACTAACAACATCGAAAGCATTTTTAACCTCAAAGAAAACAAAAGTGTTAACTTGATTACACCTATACTCCAGATAGAGTATCTGTCACTTTATAAACCTGATTACTGTTAGAATCTCCGTAGAGTTTCTGTTAAATGAACTGTTTGAAATTGCTCACAGTAACAGTGGTGTATTTATTGAAATAATTTCACTTTCGCAATAGATCTAGAATACATCAGTTGTTAGCTGCCCTTTTATATCTCCAAATGTGAGCTGTTGTGCATGTAACTTTTTCATGGGTTTTTCATATTATTCATAGGTTTAGCACAACGTTTTTCAAGGTTAGTGATGTCTAATCGAATACTGTCTTTGGCATGCAATATAAAACCTTCTAACTGTTGAATTATTATAGGGAAAGTGAATTCCTTTTAGGTGAAAGAAATTGAATAGTGTCAACTGCAAATGGTCTTTTTTTCTCCATATCCCATACAGTATGTCGTTACAATGTTTCAATAAATTCCATCAAAATAGACACATCTTTATTGATGCATTGT